ACGAATTTCCGAAGACGAATTCCCACCCGAAGACAAGTTGCGAAGACGAATTCCCTGAAGCCAAGTTCCCTCAAGAACACGAGTTCCCCTCCTGAATGCCGTTGAGCAGGCATGCTGACAGCGAGCGTTCGTGGTACTCTCGTCCCCTTATCATACACGGCGCCCTACATAGTAAATGCTTTTGTCAAAAGCCCTGAAAGCCCAATGCTTAGAATAAATCATGCAGTTTGAAACCAATATTGATCTAATGATCCTCTTCTAGGGGCCCGCTGCCCTCAGCTAGCCAGCGTTTGTAAGAAAAGTTAAAAGCAGTGCTTTGTTTTTGACTCCGACCCTGCGAACCGTGGCTTGCCAGTACTGTAACAACAAGGCCAGGTTGCAAGTGCTGTTTTTATTTTATTTTTTCGACCCCTGTGAAAGCTTGTGGACGTTGTTTGCATGGTGATAGCTTCGCGATGTGTGGCAAAGCTTTTGTTTGCGCGCGTCGTGGCGTGGGCTCATGGCGGGCCTGCAGAGTGGGCAAGCGCTGACATCCGAGGAGGCCCCGCTAGTGTTGGAGGAGGCGCCAGCGCGCAAACAGCGCCGCTGCGCTGTGTGGGCACAGAGAGGATTGCGCAAGTGAGGCAGCCTGCGAGAAGACAATGGAAGCCAAAGCATCGCCGTCTGGCAAAGCTTTTGTGCTTCGCTGGGGCTGGCTGGGTGGCGCTTGCAGCTGAACCTGCAGGAAAGGCGGAAGCCGCGGCCACTGCGAGACGGCGATTAGTTTTGTTTTGATCAAACGCTTTTCAACCAACCCTTTAGTTTGCAAATCTGGAAATTGGCCGAGCAGCTCAAAGACAGACGGCGGATGCAGTTTTTGGAACATGAACCTTTCAGGAAACCTGTATGCAATTATACTGACTTTGCAAGGGAGGGCTCAGGTTTCAACCTCTCACTGTCAAATGGTTGGACCTTGTACGGGAGAGTTTGCTTGGTGAACGGGAACAGGACTGCGCAGACATGTGTGCAAGGTTCGGCCTGTTTCGCATGCCAGAGCTTTGCGCCGAGCACAAGGGCAGTGCTCATGACCAGGCGCAGCCAGGCCTGTTCTTCGAAGCTTTTGCCTGCTAACGCCGAGGTGGTGTGTGACATGTGTGCGTTTGGCGCCGCACACAGGAAGCCAACGCGCGGCTGACTGCAGATCAGCAGGTCTCTGGTTCAAGAACCGTGCGGGCCAAGAACTGTGGGCCCTTGAGTGGCCAGAGCGTCCAGCACATTTGGGGCACGCAGCTTCTCGCGCTACTCTTAAGCAGCAGCTGCCTCATCGAGGATTTGTGCTGAACAAGTTTGCTGCCAACACTGCCGCGGAAGTTCTTGCAGGCGTGCAGGGCGCTTTGGATTTCATCCGGCTCTTCGTGAAGAAATTGACGCTTGGCTTGTTTCTGCTGGGGCAGGCTTAGGTCGGCGGTTGCCAGGGCAAGAACTTTTGGGATAATGGCGCAACTGCGCCTGCTCAATGTTAATTGTGAGTTTGCAGCCCACGGTTGGTCTGAAAGCTGCAAACTAGGAGCAAAATGAGGGCGACGTGGGCCCATCGGTCCTGCGCGCCGCAGTGCTGCCCGCTAGCGCTCTCGATGCTTTTGGCCTCGTGCCAGCCGGCTGCGCTCGTTGCAACCTTTTTCTGCGTGTTTCACTCCAAGGCCTCCAGTTTTGACGGGTGCGCGTGCAACTGGCGCGTGTCTCCAGTTTTGACGGGCGCGCGTGCAACTGGCGCGTGTGCAAGTTTCCAGGTGGGAGGTTTCGTCCAGAGCTGAAGCATACGCGCTGGCCTTCTTCAACGTGGAGTGTGCCGCAGCTGAGCGAGTACAAGTTGTTCGCCCGCACGTGCCAGAAGGCATGGCTGGCTGAATGCGGCGTCAGCCAAGAATGCGGCTTCAGGGACGAATGTGGCGTTAGGGAATGTGGCGTCGGAATGCGGCGTTACTCAGGAATGCGGCGTCAGGGGCGTATGTGACGTTAGGGAATGCTGAGTCACAATGCGGCATCAGCCGAAAATATATGATGTTAGCCGGGAATGCGGCGTTAGTCGGGAATGTGGCGTGAGAAAATGCGGCGTTAGAATGTGGCGTTAGCTAGGAATGCGGCATTAGGAAATAATAGAAATTGAAATAAAATTGAATTATAAATTATAAATGAAATATAAAATGAATAAAATTTAAATTGAATATTATAATAATTATAAATATTTATTATTTGTTTTATAAAATCTAAAAGTAAAATATATTTATATAATATATACAAAACCGAATTATAATAATGATTTAAATAAATTTATTTTTATATATTAAAATAATATATATTAATAATAATTATGTTTAAATTTATATTATTAATTCTTATTTTTAAAAATATTATATGTATTAATATATATATATTAATTAAATATTATATATTGATAAAACCAATTTATGTAACATTAAATTTATATTTATTTGTATTTATGGGTTTGTGTTTATATATTTATATTTATATATTTGTAATTATGTATTTATATTTATAAAATATATATTTGTATTTATTTAGGTGGTTAATTATGATTGATTTTTGTTTATAAATAGATAGATATAAATAGAGAGAGATAGATAGGTAAAAACATAAATATTAGAGATATAGAGATTGATATCGATAAAGAAACAATAACAAAAAGAGATATACCTACGATTCCGATATATTATGTAATTTTCGATATGATATTTTTATGCTGGATTCTGATATCGATATGTTATTTTCGCTTGCGCATATGTATGCGTTCGATTCCGAGCCCGAGAGTCATGATGTAAATAGATGGGTTGTAAGAACGCACGTACGAGTTCCGGTTACGCGCGTCCTAGTTGTATGCGGCCATTGGTCACTTGTTTCCTGACGTTTTTCGCCTAATGGAACGAGTTAGTGGGAATTCGTTTGTCACCCTAGGACGGCTGTTTTCTGGCCCGTGGTTAGGAGGTGGTTGTAGGTGTTCGGCGACCCTCTTTGGATTGGGTATCGGTTTGCTACCGGGATTGGTAATTTGTATCGATATTGGAAATTAGGAGGTGATATCTTATTTAAGTTTAAGATGGTTTAGGAATTTAATTCCCAAATCACCAAAGATAATATATATAAATCTTTATAAATATATATATATAAATATATATGAATATATATAAATATATATAATATTAAATATATATATATATTAATTTCTATATTTGCATGAAATTAATAATATTCTGAAAATTTATGTATTTCGTTATTCGATTTCAATTTAATTTGAAAATTTCGACAATATAATATTTTAGAATGATCGAAACTGTATTAATTTATTATGGAATGAATATATTTATATAGGATATTTTTTAGGAGATTATAAAAATAGTTTATTTAGATATTTCGTTATTATTTTATTTGAAATATTGTGTTTAATTTGGCGATATGAGAATTAATTGTTATAATTAGTGTGTTGTTTCTAATGCTTTAAGCGAAATTTGTTTGGTTTTGGGTATATTGTTGTTTTGTTATCGTAGTGTTTTAGGAAATATATTGAGATGTTGTTAAGAAGTTTTATCTATAATAGTTATTTAGAATTTGGGTTTTAATTTAATATAATATATGTTTTGTTGAAATGTTTTAATTGGGGGTCTAAGATAAAGGCTCAAACTTGCAATTATCCAGACCCTCAAAATATTCCTTCGTTAAATATTTATTCGATCTATTTAATTCTATCTCTATAAATATAAATATATATTAAATTCTATTTACTATATATATATAAAACACCATCAAAATTAAATAATATTTAAATAATCAATTTAAATTTTACAAAAAATAATATATATATAAAAATCAACACTTATATTTTATATCGAATACCCATATAACGGCTTAAAATATATATAAAAATATAATTAATAAAAAAACAAATCAAAATTTCGAGAATTTCATCCTATAAAAAAAAAAAAAAAATCATAATATAAATTATATAAATAACAAAACAAAATCGAGAAATCAAATCTTATCCACCCAGAATCCAATGCCATTTTAGGCTCGGAAATTATATCATCCCATTTCAAAAACAAAATCCAAACAAAAAACAATAAAAATCTCAATCCAAAAAACACAAATTCCAAAGAATAACAACAATCATACATCAAAAATAATCAAAATAATCATCAAACATATATATAGAAATGTATTTCTTCAATTTATGCAATATATATTTCATCCACCATACAAATAAAAATTCCAAAGAATTCGATATCCAATCCATTTATATTTTCCCAAATTAAATATTCATAACCAATAATTTAATCCATATATCAAATTTCATAAATCATTATAAATATTTAATAAAGAATTATAAAATTCAAAATAACATAAGCATACATATTAAAATAAAATAATATTTAATATAAATAAAAAAATATAAATATTAATAATATAAATATCAATTTCAGAAAGAATATAAATAAAAATACAATAAAAACCCCAAAAAATATATATCTTCAATATTTATATACAAATATATCTTTCTTAAAATCCAGCCAAAATATCAAATTCTAATCAAATACAAATTACATAAATATAAATATCAATTAAACATATATAAGCAAAAAATAAAATAATATAAAAACAATATATATATATATTAATAAATTAAAATCAAAATCTAATACAATCGTTATAATAGTGTCCCGCCGAATTATCGAGCTCGTGGCGAATAATTAGTTTTTGTATAAGTGTTTGCCTCTTAGTGGGATTTGGAAGTCCTTAAGATTTTATCGAATTTTCGGAGGGATTTTTAGATTTTCATTTGGATTTCATATGGCATAAGTTTGCAAATTTTCCCGGATTAGGGATAAAATGATGATTAATTTCCAATTCGGTCGAGTTTAAATTTAATTGCGATAGGTCCAAAAGATCTATTTCGTGGAACGAGTATGAATCGTGTCAATTCGTGTTCTATACCAGATTAAGCGCATTTTCCATCTATGTTTCCCGGAGGCAGCAAGCAACTCTGTTTTGAGTGTTGCCCCCAGGTCAAGAGAGTGGTACTTTGGCTGCGACAAAGGGCAGCAAGCGCTGTCCATTCGAATCTTTGTGACTCAAGCTGGGCGCCCCGAAACAGCAAGCACGCATCTTCCCAAACATGAACACCGAACTCCTCTGCTTACCCATTCGTGACCAAGCCGCCAACAAACGCAACACGCACACGGCGCCGCGGGCTCGTGCGAGTCACCTACACATCTGCCGTTAAAGGCTCCTGCAGGCCGTGAGCTGGAGCCGGGCGCCTCAGCCTCAAACAGTTTCATGACATCGCAGCATGTCATTCCCTGCCCAAAAGCACATGGCGAAACGACTGACAAGTTTGATCGTTGCCTGTGTGGAAGGGAAGTTTCCTCCTAATTGCGCGCGTGCCAAGTTCGGACGGGGGTGCACTACGGTCGCGGCACACTATGCCACTCGGAATGACATGTGTTTGAGGTGATCCGTGGATACGACTTTGTAGTCTTGCAACGTGATGGTCGAAGCGGATACTCACGCGCTCACAGGTGAGCTGAAAAACTAAACCTCCCAAGTGAGCGGTGATCAAAATCAATGGGCCAAATTGCGATGATATCATTTGGCGCTTCCGCGTGCTTCCGCGTGCTTCCGCGCGCTTCCGCGCTGCGGGTGTTTGCTTCCGCGCTCTCATTTCCCTTCCGCGCCTTCCGCGGCTTGCGTCTCTTTCTTGCCAAACCAACACAACTAGATATTGAGTTTGTCATCCACAACTGGTGATACTAAAGGCTTGTGGAGCCCAGACGGCTGTAGCAAATGGTCTATGGGTCCCATACTCATAACGACGCTGAAACGCGAATCCTAATAGATTTGCAACCGCAAGCGTGAAGCCTCACGACACACCGCGGCTAGCGAGAACAACGCATCACACACAAGGCATCCAAATCACGAAACCCTTCCGCCGTCCTTCCGCGCCCTTCCTCCGCGAATTGAGCCCCACATCAATCTCCACTCATTTTAGGCCCGGGCATAAAAACAATTTGTTCGGCCCTAAAAACGATTTGTTCGGGCCGAACAAATCGTTTTAGCTCCCGGGCACCCAAACGATTTGTTCGGGCCGAACAAATTGTTTTAGCTCCCGGGCACTAAAACGATTTGTTCCGGCCACTAAAACGATTTGTTCGGCCGGAACAAATCGTTTTAGTGCCCGGGAGCAAAAACGATTTGTTCGGCCCGAACAAATCGTTTTAGTGCGTTTTAGTGCCCGGGAGCTAAAACGATTTGTTCGGCCCGAACAAATCGTTGCGTTTTAGCTCGTTTTAGAATCGTTTTAGTGCCCGGGACCGGGAGCTAAAACGATTTGTTTGGCCCGAACAAATCGGTTTACGCTCGGGAGCAAAAACCATTTCGCTTCAACTGACAAGTAAATGTCGGCCCAACCGGCCATGTCAGAAGAAGCCTACGTGGTGACTTGGCAAAGCACTCTGACTTCCCCGCGGCGAAGAGAAATGAAGGCGCTTGATTCCTCAGCGCCGCTTCTTGCGGCGTGACGGCCAAAACAGGCCAGTGAAAATCGTTTTGTTTTGTGGCCGAGGTGCAGAAACGATTTTGTTTGCCCGAAGAAATTGTTTTTTGGCCCGGAGCGAAAACATTTCTGCACCTTTTGACGCTCCAAAAATGTTCCCCTTCCGCGCCCTTCCGCTGTGCAAATTTCGTAGTCAACTTCCGGCCCTTCCGCAAGCTCCCGCGGCCTGCGGAAAACCTTCCGCGCGGATTGATTTCAGCGCTCCCTTACTTAAATTGCTTTGAGCATTTTTGATCGCTGCTCAAGTTGTTTTCATTGCAAAACCAAGCGGCGGTCTTCATAAGCATGAGGTCCCCCGATAGCATGCCCCTTTAAGGGTATGAGGTCTAATGCTGCAAACTTTCTGCAAACAAATTCACATGGCAAAGTTGCTGGGACCCTCAGAAAGAAGAAAATGCAAAATACAGAAATGGGCCACTCCTGCTCCAAGCAGTTTGGGGGCATCTGCGGGCTGCGCGCGACTTGCGCGGGACTTGCGCGAAAACTTGTTCATCTTTGGGCCATGTGGCAGCGGTCGTCAGACGGAGGTCTTCATGTTACACAAGCGCAGGCCGCGTTTGGGAGCCGACGAAGCAGTCAACCTTCTCGATGGCCACCGAGTTGCTGCCACTGCGCAACAGACGTGTCAGCCCGCAAAGAACCCGAAGCCGCAAAGTGAATACGTCGCCTGCGAGGTTGCGTCATTGAAGCACCTTTCGAAGGTGGCTTATCCTCCGGAAGCCGAATACCAGAGGCTGCGCAATGAAGCAAGAAGATCACTAAGGACGATGATTCCGGCATCGCCACGCGCTATGTCAAGATTGCTGGACCTCTTCTTGTCAAGATTGCTGAGCCAGTCAATGAGTGTGAGGAACACAGAGACACTGAGAGTGTTCTGGCGGCCAGCTGGGGAGACATCATGACAGGAATGCTGACAAAGCGGCGAAACTTATTGGAAAGGAACTACACCGGTGCACAAGATCCGCTCACAATGAATGGAACAGCAGACCGATAAGGAAGTATCAAGTGACGGTGGCTGAGGAAATGCAGGATGTGTCCTGGTGGAAGCTCCTGATATGTACTCTGCGAGGCACTGCCCTTTTTATCTCTCGAACTACTTGAGACTAAGAAGGGCCTTGAGCCCAAGATGTGCGTCAAGTCAGTGGAAAAAACAGAACAGGGGGTGGGGGCACCTTTGGGTACTTGCAGGAACAGCTGTGAGGGCATCCAGCTTTGTGGGTCCTCCTTTCTTGGAAACAAATGGTGGTGTCTTTAAACTAGCGTCTTGTTTGTGGGTGGTTGCAAAAGGGAACCGACGTAAAAGCCTTTAAGACCAGTTCAACGCACACACACACACAAACACCGAACGCGAATCCCAGCCCCTCAAACATGCAACCCGCGCCTGAATACGACCACAAGAACAGCAAGGGCAGCTCCGGCGGCCTGTGACGAATCCGGGATGGCAATCTCAGAGACGATTTGTTTCAACAAAAGGAAGCCTCAAGGAACCAAGGAAACCAATTGATTGTGCGTTTTCTGAACTTGGGGGATGGCTTGTCCTGTTGCTCCTTTGCAGACCCGCCCTCAGCACACTTCGGACCCATCTCGACACTTGGACTCTGGCGGGAATAGCGACTCGCGGCCAGGAGCCCAACAACTCCTCAGCGACTGACCCGGAGAGTCTAGAAGAATAATGCCATGATCGGCCTAGCCACCTGCCTGACACAGCAGTCCTTCTTGCTGTCAGCAGCCGCCATCATCAAAGCTGGAGCTTCATCGTCATCCTTGCCCTTGCCGGACAACGGGACGTACTTGCTGCTGATGTCCTGCGGAACAACCTTGTCTTGAAACTTCTCAGCGGCTGGCATCCCCTGCATGTATTTCTGGTACTTCACGCCATTCTCGTCCATCTCAGGCACATAGTCTCTGTACTTGTCAGGAATGAACTTCTCATACTTCCTGTTCACTACAGGGCCCGGCTTGGGTGAACGCAGGTACTTCTGGAAATCTCCCATGTTGGAATCTGAGTGCTCCGAATGCTCAGAGTGTTCGGAGTGCTCAGAGTGTCCCTTGTCGTGGGAATCTTTGCCGGTGTTCTTCTTGCTGTCAGCAGCCGCCATCATCAAAGCTGGAGCTTCATCGTCATCCTTGCCCTTGCCGGACAACGGGACGTACTTGCTGTTGATGTCCTGCGGAACAACCTTGTCTTGAAACTTCTCAGCGGCTGGCATCCCCTGCATGTATTTCTGGTACTTCACGCCATTCTCGTCCATCTCAGGCACATAGTCCCTGTACTTGTCAGGAATGAACTTCTCATACTTCCGGTTCACTACAGGGCCCGGCTTGGGTGAACGCAGGTACTTCTGGAAATCTCCCATGTTGGAATCTGAGTGTTCCGAATGCTCAGAGTGTTCGGAGTGCTCAGAGTGTCCCTTGTCGTGGGAATCTTTGCCGGTGTTCTTCTTGCTGTCAGCAGCCGCCATCATCAAAGCTGGAGCTTCATCGTCATCCTTGCCCTTGTCGGACAACGGGACGTACTTGCTGTTGATGTCCTGCGGAACAACCTTGGCTTGAAACTTCTCAGCGGCTGGCATCCCCTGCATGTATTTCTGGTACTTCACGCCATTCTCGTCCATCTCAGGCACATAGTCTCTGTACTTGTCAGGAATGAACTTCTCATACTTCCTGTTCACCACAGGGCCCGGCTTGGGTGAACGCAGGTACTTCTGGAAATCTCCCATGTTGGAATCTGAGTGCTCCGAATGCTCAGAGTGCTCCCCCTTGCCGTGGGGATCTTTGTCGCTGTCCTTCTTGCTGTCAGCAGCCGCCATCATCAAAGCTGGAGCTTCATCGTCATCCTTGCCCTTGCCGGACAACGGGACGTACTTGCTGTTGATGTCCTGCGGAACAACCTTGCCTTGAAACTTCTCAGCGGCTGGCATCCCCTGCATGTATTTCTGGTACTTCACGCCATTCTCGTCCATCTCAGGCACATAGTCCCTGTACTTGTCAGGAATGAACTTCTCATACTTCCTGTTCACTACAGGGCCCGGCTTGGGTGAACGCAGGTACTTCTGGAAATCTCCCATGTTGGAATCTGAGTGCTCCGAATGCTCAGAGTGTTCGGAGTGCTCAGAGTGTCCCTTGTCGTGGGAATCTTTGCCGCTGTTCTTCTTGCTGTCAGCAGCCGCCATCATCAAAGCTGGAGCTTCATCATCCTTGCCCTTGCCGGACAACGGGACGTACTTGCTGTTGATGTCCTGCGGAACAACCTTGCCTTGAAACTTCTCAGCGGCTGGCATCCCCTGCATGTATTTCTGGTACTTCAAGCCATTCTCGTCCATCTCAGGCACATAGTCCCTGTACTTGTCAGGAATGAACTTCTCATACTTCCTGTTCACTACAGGGCCCGGCTTGGGTGAACGCAGGTACTTCTGGAAATCTCCCATGTTGGAATCTGAGTGTTCCGAATGCTCAGAGTGTTCGGAGTGCTCAGAGTGTCCCTTGTCGTGGGAATCTTTGCCGGTGTTCTTCTTGCTGTCAGCAGCCGCCATCATCAAAGCTGGAGCTTCATCGTCATCCTTGCCCTTGCCGGACAACGGGACGTACTTGCTGTTGATGTCCTGCGGAACAACCTTGTCTTGAAACTTCTCAGCGGCTGGCATCCCCTGCATGTATTTCTGGTACTTCACGCCATTCTCGTCCATCTCAGGCACATAGTCCCTGTACTTGTCAGGAATGAACTTCTCATACTTCCTGTTCACCACAGGGCCCGGCTTGGGTGAACGCAGGTACTTCTGGAAATCTCCCATGTTGGAATCTGAGTGCTCCGAATGCTCAGTGTGTTCGGAGTGCTCTGAGTGTCCCTTGTCGTGGGAATCCTTGCCGCTGTCCTTCTTGCTGTCAGCAGCCGCGAGCATCAAAGCTGGAGCTTCATCGTCATTGTTGCCCTTGCCGGACAACGGGACGTACTTGCTGTTGATGTCCTGCGGAACAACCTTGTCTTGAAACTTCTCAGCGGCTGGCATCCCCTGCATGTATTTCTGGTACTCCACGCCATTCTCGTCCATCTCAGGCACATAGTCCCTGTACTTTTGAGGAATAAACTTCCGGTATTTGGTGTTCACCTCTGGCCCTCAGAGGGGTTGTAACAGCGGAAACATCTCACTTGACATGCTTCCAACCGGTCAGCAAAGCTCACACGTTAGCACTATGCAGTCAAGACGCCTGTGCCATCCTGAGTGGACACATGTTACAAGTACCCCATTTGCCACGGTCAATGCTCCTATGGAAAAGCAGAGTTTGCTGTTTGCTGCTTGTGCGGTACCCATCACCCTCAACCCAAGTAAGCAGGTCTGTTCCTATGGGACGTACATTGATCCTGTCAAGAAGCGTGGCTGTGAGCGGCATTGTGGCAGTCCACATACGTGGCAGCCCCCAGGAGCAAAAGATCCAAAAGTCGCATCTGCCTTCGATACAGCTTGTGGCGCACTCGCAAAGACAAGTCTGCAAGTGGCGCAATCCCACACCGTCCTGGAAAATGCTGCCGCCACGTGCTACCTCTACAAACGCTGAGCCAAGTTTTGCAGGCAAGCTGTCGCTCATGCTCAGCTGAGCTGAAGCCTTGAAGCTGAAATCCGAGCCCAAGCTCCTTCTGGTCAGGGCTCCCTTAATAGAGCGCGCATATTGGTTGGCTAAAATGCCTGGCAAGCACCATCCCTTCAAACCCCAAGTATGCAACTCGCTTGACTGGGGAGCACATTTGGGAAACCTAAATGAGATCCAAAAGAGGCCATGTACAAGGGGCCCCCAGTGGCTGGAAGGGGTTGCCTTCATTGTTGGATGGACCAAAATGTTTCGGTATTGACAAATCCCGTTTTGATTCTGCGCGCCCTTTCCTTTCTTCTCTGGCCCGGAAACGCTGACAGCAACCGTCAATTCTCTACTGTCTGCTACGCTCAGTCACAGGGTTGCAAAAAGAAATCCTGTCGACAAACCTGATGATTGATTGTCCACAACAGTTGGTGAGGCTTGACCCGAGCGGCTGATTCTCAGCAGTTCTCTGGCATTTGCCAGTCTGAACTGTTGTGATGCGCAAAGTTAAATGTGCCACACTACCCCCCCATGAAGCGCTGTGCAACTGTACAGCTGAGCTAGAATGCTCAGTGAAAATCCAGGGTTGCTGGATGAGAGGTCAAGGCAGCACCGGCAAACTACAGCATCTTCTGCCGTTGGCTGCCTGAGCTTATCAAAGCATTGCGGCAGTCATGCTGCTGATGAATTGACATTTAGCTGCTGCAATGCAGACAATGTATACGTATTATGCCGAGCATCCTGTCGCAGCTAACTTGTTCCTGCAGTCTGTGCTCTCAATGATTGGGCACATGATGTCCCGTCCCATGCTTTCCCGCGCCTCAACGCTTTTCTGTTCTGGAGGATTTTGAATCTTGCAACCCCCTGCAGCAAAGGCGGTGCCCCGCGTGCTTGTGAAAAACTGCCAGGCCTCCATATTTCGGAAAACTACTCCAAAACGCCGTTCAACCTGCAGCAATACACGTTCGCACTCACTCAAATGAGAACTTGTCTGAATGCTCGGATTCCTGAGTGATTGCTTTCTTCGAACCCTATCAGATTCTGCAGATTCCAAAAGATCTCTCCTGTAAGGGCATCCGTGCCCAGATTCACACGCGCCACGAAAATGTGGAAAGGCCTCACGGATGATGTCCATTTCCTCTGGACATGTGGGCAGACTCATGACCTACACGAGTGACGAGTGACTCTCGCAGGGTCGGCCCGTTCTTCAGTTGACGGCCTTGACCAGCGGGTCTACCCGCTGTATGCGAAGCATATAATCCTCCTGCAATTTTGGCTGGTTTCTGTCGCATTGCTTCGCATGGCACACGCCTAACACTTATGAAACATTTGTGACCGACTTGTGCTGCCCCAGCGGCCAGACTGCGAGGCATATCAAAGTTCACCATCCTTGGTACACTGGTGTCGAACGCTTTTCCAAAGGTGCCATTTTCAGTAAAGGGGCATATTCGCCGCAGACGCATCACTGTTGTTCCGCAGTCTTGCTTCTGAGATGATGCCAGCACACTCTGACAGCTCCTGCAAGGGAGGCTTCAAACAAGCAGCGCCAACGCTTTGTGGAAGTTGGGGTGGGGGGCTGGCAGGATTGCAAAACATGTCTGCAAAACGGATGCTAGCAATCATGCCAAAGGAAGGACAAGCAAAACAACGCTTTGGAGGAACAAACCTGCGTCGTTTCTCATGAAAGCCCGAGCCAAACAAGTTGCGCGATGCGTCGACAGGCCACATTGGGCATTTGGCAGTCGACGGTTCTCAAAAGCGACTCGATCGCTCCTTGAATCGGTGTGACTCCTTGGCCAAAGCAGGGGATTGCGAGTGGATAGAATATCACTGATTTGGGGCAACCCCTTCTAATGGCTCAGCTACAGAAACAAACTGGGGCTCATGTGCGCCAAGGGCTTACGAGACATGGTCCAAAGGGCAAAGGGAATCCTGGGTTGGAGACCTCTCAGAGATGACCAGCAAGAGATAACAAGGCATCTCGCTGGGGATGATGCCTGCATTTATGACTGCTCTTGTACATGAGCCTTTGTGACAACCTCTTGTGGCATAGTCATGGTTCCTTGCTAACAGAGAGATCTAACAGTGGCGATACAAATCCGAGCTAAATAAAGCCGCAATGCGCGGCATGCGCGCATTGCACGTGTGTCGACGTGTCTGCCGAAATACCCCCTACACAAGCAAAACATGAATTGCCCAGCCGCTTCATCCTGCTTCAGCATCGTGATCAGCGGATATTGCACGGCTTTCGACATTTGCAGTACTTTGCGCAAGCCCTGCGCCCGCCTGGGCGTGAGCTGTGCAATCACAAGTTAGCTAAGCAAAAGCTGGCACATGACTCCTGGGCATGTCTTTCTGAGCAAAGTACAAACAAGAAACTCAAACCTCCAAGGCTGCATGATGGACGCACGCACACAACAGCATCAGGTCAACGTCGGATTCGGAAACTAAAACGGCGGATTCGGAAACTACTGAACGAGACTATTCGGAAACCATGATTCGGAAACTAAAGCGACGGATTCGGAAACTAGGATTCGGAAACTAGGGCTCGGAAACAAAAACGACAGATTCGGAAACTAGAACATCGGAATCGGAAACTATGACTCGGAAACTAAAGAAACGGATTCGGAAACTAAAGCATCGGACTCGGAAACAAAAAACGACGGATTCGGAAACTAGAACGTCGGATTCGGAAACTAGAGCATCGGATTCGGAAAGTCTGATTCGGAAACTAAAAGGTCGGATTCGGAAACTAAAGCGGCGGATTCGCACTGTGGGCACGCAATGGGATGGAGGGGCACCTAAACCAACCCTAAACCAACCATAAACCAATCCTAAACCAACCCTAAACCGGCCCTACACCGGCCCTAAACCAACCCTAAACCGACCCTAAACCAACCCCAAACCAACCCTAAATGCTCTTGAGCGGGTGCGCGTACCATTTGGCAGGCATGTGTGCAGTGCTGAGCGCGTGCTCTTGGGCGGGTGCGCTTGCCATTTGGCAGGCATGTGTGCAGTGCTGAGCGGGTGCTCTGAGCGGGTGCGCTTACCATTTAGCAGGCCTGTGCGCAGCGCTGAGCGGGTGCTCTTGAGCAGGTAAGTTGGTTTGGGGTTGGTTTAGGGTCGGTTTAGGGTTGGTTTAGGGTTGGTTTAGGGTTGATTTTGTGTCGCCCTAAAACCAACCCTAAACCAACCCTCAAGCCAACCCTAGTTCGACGTAAACCAACCCTTAACCACCTAAACCGGCCCTAAACTAAACCAGCCCTAGACCAACCCTAACTAACACTAAACCAACCCTAAACCAACCCTAAACTAACCCTAAACCAACCCTAAACCAACCCTAAACCAACCCTAAACCAACCCTAAACCAACACTAAACCAACCTTAAAAAACCATAAGCCAACCAACCCTAAACCGGCCCTAAACCGGCCCTAAACCAACCCGATATAAACCAACCCTAAACCAACCCTACGTGCTCTTGAGCGGGTGTGCTTACCATTTGGCAGGCATGTGTGCGGCGCTGAGCGGGCGCTCTTCAGGTGGGGCGCTTACCAATTGCCAGGCATATGCGCAGTGCTGAGCGGGCGCTCTTGAGCGGGTTTGCTTCCCATTTGGCAGGCCTGTGCGCTTAGCATTTGGCAGGCGTGTGTGCTGAGCTGGTGCTCTTGAGCTTACCACTTGGCAGGTGGCGGAATCAGTCGAAATCCGCCGACCCCTTCTCCAAAGGCGAGGCGCACGGGAAGGGTGGCAACAAGATCGTCATCACGATGCTCAGCATCATCTCTTTTTTCCGACAACAATTGTAGCAGAGATGAACAAGCCAGATGTAAAAGATGCGTGGACATGATTATCATGATGACTGCTGGTGATGCTGGGGATGTGTCATGATGATTGTCATCCGATTTGAAATGCAAAAGATGCGTGGACATGATTATCATGAGGATTGCTGGACAGTTACATGATTATCATGATGACTGCTGGGCCGTCATCATCACCGTCGTCATCATGACGGTCATCAGCATCCTTTTCTTTTCCTTTAATTGGTGATGCACACAATGCATTGGTGAGGCAGAAAATGCTACGACGACCATTAAGTTGGCTTTGGACCATGCTCCTCCGAAACTTGCTCGGATGAGCATGTTGACAGCTGGTGGAGTTGGCCCGCTACACGCGCAATCAGCATCATCATCATCACCGTCCTCATCCGGCGTAATAGTTTCTGAATCAGTCAAAATAGTTTCTGAATCACGCCCAAAAGTAGTTTCTGAATCGGGCGAAATAGTTTCTGAATCGTAGTTTCTGAATCGTAGTTTCTGAATCGCAAGTAGTTTCTGAATCGGTGTTGTTGTTCTTGTTACCCACACCACCCACACCACCCACGCCAACACCAACACCAACACCACAAACACCACCAACAACACCAAAAACACCAACAACCAACAACAACAACAACAACAACAACAACAACAACAACAACAACAACAACAACAACAACAACAACAACAACCAACAACCAACAACCAACAACCAACAACCAACAACCAACAACCAACAACCAACAACCAACAACCAACAACCAACAACCAACCACCCACCACCAACCACCCACCACCACCACCACCTCCAACAACAACAACAACCAACAACGACCAACAAAAACCAACAACAACCAACAGCAACCAACAGCAACCAACAACAACCAACAACCACCAACAACAACCAACAACAACCAGCAACAACCAACAACAACCAACAACAACCAACAACAACCAACAACCACCAACAACCACCAACAACAACCAACACAAAGCAACAACAGCCAACAACAACCAACAACCACCAACAAAAACCAACAACCACCAACAACCACCAATAACCACCAACAACAACCAACCACCACCAACAACCACTAACAACAACAACCAACCAACCAACCAACCAACCACCAACAACCACCAACAACCACCAACAACAACCAAC